TTCCAAAATCATCTTCATATTAATAAAGTTTTTAATATCCAATTGAAGCTTATAGAAAGGACTCTTATATTTGGGCTTGTTTGAATCTTCATTTTTTTTGTTTTTTTTTCTACTTTCTTGAGGTCCAACTCCACTTCTTAGTTGAGATGAAGGCACTGCTTAAACTTGAGGATAAGAAGGCCCTTCTCCTCTTTGAGTAGATTCTTTAATCCTTGGTGGCCTCTTTTTTTTGAAGAGCTCAACTACATTTTCTTGAGAAAACCTAGTTTTCTTCTCTTCTACAATAGCATCTTGATCCTCCAAATCCTTATTGCTGTTTAAAAAGGTTTTGATGCTAATTGCATCAATTAAATCATTTCAAGTTGTTGCCTTTATAATTAATAAACAATCAGCTATATATATGTGTCTCTTTTTCCAAGATAAAGCAAAGTTGGAATAATAAGGTTGACTCTATTGTAAAGAATACATGGAATGAATATAGGTTAGTAAGATATGATGTTGTAATATAATTGTAGATAAGAAGGAAGCGACGGTAGTATGAAAGAAAAATATATATTTTTAGTCTAAATAAGTGAATTGAAAAGCAATCACATTCTAAGATATAATATATGGTTTTGATGGTTATTTATTGATAAATACTTAGTAATAATATACATTATCTTATATATCATAAAAATATGTTATAATTAAATAATTTTATTTTTTATAAAATAATATTATATATCAATGTCTTTTCTATAAGAATCATATTTTAGATTTTTACTTAATCAAATGGTACTTTGATTATATATATATATATATATATATATATATATAATTAAAAAAAACTTAATTTATATAGTAAATTTTGTAATCATGGAATTTTAGCAATAGTTTTAGCTAATGCCATATATTTAGATTCTATAGGAGATAAAAAAATACTTATTTTTGTTTAACTACATTAACTAGAAGAAAAAAATAGCTAGAAGTAGATTTATAAATATCTTTATAAAGATAATTGGAATATAAAAAGCCATATAAAATATTTCCAGTGACTTATTATTGATATTTGATGTCATAAATAAGTGTATCTTTGAAATATCACACAATACATTTTAAAATTTGAATATATAATAAAATAGAGCATGATAGAAATTGGGTCAATTACTTATTGTGTAAGCACAATTTGGTTGCGAATTAACAATATCTTGCATTATATTGTCAACTATGTGTGAATAAGACTAAAAATTGATGTAAGCTTGATTATTATTAAGAAAGTTATGTTTATTGAATCAAATTTTAACTTGCATAAGTATACTCAATGAATTACAATTAAATATGTTATATTAAATATTTTTTTCATATAATATAATCCAATCTTTTGAATGGTTTTTAATAATAAAATTTTAAAATAGTATAATAAATTTTATCTTTATTAAATATTTTAAATTCTTAGTAAAAAATATCTTTAATAACTTAAATAAGAAAATTTTTATTACTAATGATGATACAATCAACAATATAAAGAATTAGAATAGTAAAACTACCATCATTTTTTTTTTAATAATATTAATATTAACTTTGAGCCTGATTTGATTATGTGAGATTAAATATTGATCAAAAAAAAAATATCATATGCAAGAAGATTTCTTCAAACCATATAATGAGCTTAAAAATATACAAACAAAATTGGTCTTAGCAAATAAAAGTAAGCCTTCTTAAATTCATATATAAAATTTTTTCTTAATATAACCATTTAAAAAGTTTTTTTAACATTGAATTAATAAAATTCTAAGTTATATTGAGCAGCTAGAGCTAGAAGAACTTTGATAGAATTTAACTTGACAACATATAATTTTTTTTTATATATAATCCACTCCTTGGATTTATATAAAGTCTGTAACAGTTAGCCTTACTTTATATTTGTCTATAGTACTATCAACTTGGTTTTTTATTTTAAAAATATATTTACAACTAATTGGGTTTTTATTAGGAGAAAGTAGAATAAACTTCCATGTTTAATTTCTTTTTAAAGATTTAAAATCAATATTAATGGCAATTTTCTATTCTTTGCAATTAGGTTTTTTTTATAGCTTTTTGGGTCGTCTTAGAAATGTCTAAAGATAAATAGACCATATTGACTTAATGGTCTTGATGGTGATGAAGATAAAAACAAGATTTTTGTCTTTCAAGAGAAGATTTGCTTTGAATGTACTCAAGGTATTTTGATATGGATTTAAAATTTTATTTAGATCTAATTAAATTAGAGAATTCAAGATTGGATGCTCTCATGTCTAAATTCACTTTATATTTGCATGATGTGAAGTAAATCTATATGCATCATTTTAAAAAAGTTGAAAAAAAAGTTCATAAACATCATTTTTAGGAAGAAAATTTAATAATTTTTTTCTATTAAAAGATTTATTTAATAATCATTATAAAAGTAGAGATTTTCTTGTAGATTAAAACCTATAGGTTGTTATAGAGTAAGTACATGAAGCTTGCTAGGAATAATAGAAGGCATTTTTGAGTAATACAAGATCAATAATATCTTATATATCTTGTTTGAAAATAAAACTTGAATGTAAAGCAAAATTTTTATAACAAATAATGTCTTGAGATATAGTTGTTGTTTTATTATATAAACTCATAAGATAATAAGATTTTATTTTTATTTTTATTTTTATTTTTTGTTACTATAACCTAAAAAGTAGGCTCAAATAAATGAGAGTCTAGTTTTTTTGAGTTTTTTTTTTTTTTTTTTTTTTGAATAAGAACATAAGCTTTGCTACCAAAGATTTTTAAATATAAAAGATTAGATTTACAATTAAACCATATCTCAAAATAAGTTTAATGACTAATATAGCTTTAGTAGGACTTTAGTTTTAAAGATAGTTAGCTATAACAAATACTTCTCTCCAATACATTTTGAATAAATGAATATAAGCTAACAGGGATAAATTTACTTTTATCAAGGTCTATTTTTTATTTTAAAATATTATTTTATTTTAATATATAGATTATTATAAATTCTTATTTTATGCTTCTTCTTTTTTATAAAATTCATTGAATATATATATATAGATAGATAGATAGATAGATATTATATTCACCTCCACAACCAAATCTTAAGGTTTTAATTTTACAATTTGTTTGATTTTTGTCAATTTTTTTTTATACAGTATAAATTTATCAAATAATTTAAATTTATTTATCAATAAATATATATGAAAATATTTGGAGAAGTTATAAATTCAAGTAATGAAATATGTAGATCTAGAATGAGTACCAACTTGCATAAGGTGACATATATTAAAATGGATAAAGTTCAAATGTTGTATAGTCCTTTGAGCTACTCCTCTAGCATACTTGGTTTTGTGGTGTTTTCTTTCAACACATCAGTGATAAATATTGAGGTCTTGTAAATCAAAAATATCTATGCCAATGGACATCAATTGATGTTGTCTTATTCTGTATTGATTTATATGGCTCACTTATAAATATTATAAATCAACTTTGCTTAATTGTGTAGTTGTTGGTATAGCCAACAGTTTGAAATTAGATATTGAAGTAATATCTAATTTATATAGATCATGGTTTAATTTTTACTTGGCAATAATTTGGCCAAATTTATTAAATTCTCTTAAAATATTAAATTAAATTTAAATTTCTCTACTTGCTCTATCAAACTATTTTGTAAAAAATAAATTCATTGTAAGTCTTTAAATATGTAAAATTTAAGTATAATTTAATCTGTACCCTTTGAAAGTTTGACAAAGACATTACCATGTCCTTCTATGTTGTAAGAAGTAGTGTCATGACTTAAGTGTATAAGTTGTTGAATGTTATATTTTGTATAATTATGAAAAACATCATATTAGTCACACATGTAATAAGTTGCTCCAGAAGCTATGTATCAAGCATGTGTGGAGCTTTTTTAAGCTATTGAGGCAATTTTATAAAGCTTATTTAGTTTTGTAACCATATTTGATTGTTTTTTTTTTCTCTGCAATAAGTCTTATTCTACATTCTTGAATTCAATGTTAAAGTTCTTTTGCAATAGAAGCACTTTTTATCAAAAATTTGGTTGTTCTTCTCAAAAGGACTAGAAGAGCTTTCTTTAGTTTTTGAATTTGATAATTTCTTGAATTTTTATTGAAAAAAGATTCTAACAATAATAAAGATTTTTATTATTATAATACTTCTTTCTCACTAAAATGATAGATATATTTTTAAAAGCTAAGTTAATGTCTTTTTATTAAAGTCTATTCTTGAATTAAATATGTTATGAGTGATTTTAAAGTAATACCTAGTTGGCATCTTAGAAAAATAATAAAAGACCTATATAATAGTCATAGATTTTTTTACTAAAGTCAATATTGCTTGATTATTTAGAACTAAACACCATGTTGTAGACAATTGTTTAAGGTTTGCTTTAAATATATGAATGTATTTTTTTATTCCTTTATTTTATTTTATTTTAAGATTATATATATATTTTTTAAAATACATTCTTGTAATTGCATCTTATATATCAGATATATTTTTTATTTCTTTCCATGCATCGATTGTTGCCTTTAATATTATATGGCAAAGAATATTGTTTTCAATGCAATTATTGATAATTGATAAAGATAGTATATCTTTAACTTACATTTGACATATATTTTCTACTCATGTGACAAACAAATGTTAGATACCAATAACTATTTCTACCACAATTAGTATAGTTGGTATGCCTTTACTACAAGTGACCATTGACGACAATCTTATCTTGAAAATTAATGATAGTCATTGCTACCAAATTTTAGAAGAAAAGCCATCAAACTTAGAAACATGGCTGATATCAATCTTGTAAGTTATTACACAATTTCACTACAAGATAAATTCAAAGTCATAAATTTAAAAATTTACATAAATTTAAAAATATTGATAAAAATGCTTTTATGTTGATTGTATTTATAGATAATAGTAAGATTTCATATGATTTTAAATTATAAGTAATTCTTCATACACCAGTAGAAAATTTAAAAATTTCTTTATTTGTTAATCTTAACTCAGCATACATGAAGATTCCGACATAAGCTTATATCTATTTGAATCATTATACACAGCTATATATATCTGCATATTCTACTAGTATACTACACATGTGCAGAGAAGTTTCCTACACCCCCTTCTGTTTCGGCAAAAAAACACAAAAAAACATCACAAATCAATCTAATTATGATGGATTTATGTTATGGAGGTGGCACCAACTGTCTTACTCCGAGTTCTTGAGTCCAAGTAGCCAAGCTTTGGGCTCGTCAAGCCCCCAGAGTCCAACCGAATCAGTTCCATCATATTTTACAACTGTGTGCATCTTGCGGACATGAACATGAAGTGGGTGCCCCTGTTGTATGAGCTAGGAGTGTGACGTTCATGCTCCAACCCATCCACGATCATGTATTCTCCATGGAATTCATCACACCATACTTAACCATGGCAGTAAGCAAGATTCTTGAAAACTGTCTATGAATCTGTTCCACGTGATCTGCATCATAGTCTAGTAGTGAACGGCGTACACGCGACATTCCTACTACTTCGACATCTACCGGTGGTTAAAAATGCGTTGATCGCGTCGTCGCACTGTGTCGCAACTGATGATAGCAGCAGCTTTCACGCTGAACTTGACCTCCGATGTTTGGCCACCCTTGCTTCGATTTCTCTTCTGTGATCGTCACCATTCGTTGGCGGACAGCCACATACAGAAAGCGTGTTACCCATTATTTTCAGGGCTGCAGGACATGAAAAGTCTCAATTAGTTCCTCTCCACTCAAACGAGACTCGAAACATCTCAACCTCATCATGAATCTGTCCGTTACAGGAATATCGCAAGTTGCGAGAAGAGGCTCACTCCAATTACTTCCAGCAAATTCTCTTCGAAGGCCCTCCCAGTCTTTTGTTCCCGGAACTCCGTTCGGAATGTCTATGCAGACCTGCATAAAAAGAAACTCAGTAGCATAAGCTCTTGAACAAGATCAGAATGCTTCTATTTGGAATCAACATAACTTCCGTTTACGAAAGCATTGCTTCCAACTTACCCTTATATTTGACAATTCTTCTCTCCTGAGATAATCCGCCAAGGTCGGGTTGTGCGTATAGTCGAAAATCTGCACAGATATGAGTACATAAAGGATGTTACGAGACAATTGGATCAATCAGGTTGACTCTGAAACTGAACGCCTGGAAGATATGTCGCAAATTATCAGCAGATTACCTCAACACATTTCACAGGAGATTCAAGTGTCCACATTCTGAAGCAGTTCATGGGATGAGACCAAGTTGCTGGCCTGGCGGGTTTTGATTTCTTTGCCCTGTATCAGAACACTGACTTCGATCAGTCTCACCACGACGCGAGGAAACGATCATCACTCCGAACGTTCAACTATCTACAGACCGACATCTCAAGGTGTAAGAATCTGCACATTCATCACAATCTA